GTCTTGGGCCCCTTACACTTATTGTGTTGTCCCATTGTATTCAAGGCACCCCTGCTTTTCATTGGGGGTATATTGCATCGTCTGTCGAACCTTTTGCTTTCGTAGGTAGTGATTTCTGTATGCAGATTCGGAACTAATTCCTCTAGGGGTTTCGAAGATGTAAATTATGATGTATCTTTTTCGCCTGCATCCCCAGGAGTATAGGTCAAGGGGCTTCAAACGTTCCCAGTAATTAAGGTGCTTGACAGAATTTATGTGTGCAGTGAATGTTCTCTGTATATTCTCTAGATCCACAATTTCGCCTGCCTTCAAAAGGGCTGTTAATATACAGCAGTATTCCAGCCTATAGAGAACAAATGACTTAATTAAAGAGGCTCATCATTGGCTTGGCATCCCTTGTTTTGAAGGTTTTCATTATCCATCCTGTTACTTTCCTTGCAGTTGTGGTTACCGTCTCCATTTATGGGCAGGGACGAACATGTCTGAATTTTGGTGATTGGGAGGTGCCGTTCTAATGGTATTTGGATACAGATACAAATACAAAATTTATTGCGAATGTTACAGTGTGAGATTACATTTTATAATTTATTAGGTACAAAGAAAGCCACTATCATGCCGGGACATTTCGGGCAGACTAATCCTGATACTTAAAGACTACTTAAGTCTAGACAAGTTAAGAGTGGTAAATTTAATTATTTGTTATTCATTTAATTATTCATGGTCAAAGCACCATCTGTGAAGTTTTGTTGTGAATGAGGAATGACAACGGCCCTACGGCATGAATTTAGGGTGGTATGTCAGTTTTATGATTTCTGTGGTTTCTCCAATGCTATGGTTGTATAGCCCTTGTGGGTTAGCGCTTCTTTTTTATTATAATAATCCAATGCTTATGGAGATGCATTATTTTATCAGCCTGGTCAGCATCATTAACGCTCATGATGCGCATCCCACTTTTTAGACAGTGGAAAATATCCTAGTCTATATGGGTCATGATTACTTTCGCAAGCTTGTGTTCACTTAATAATGCTTGGGTATTCATTGGTTATGAAAAAACTTGTCAGATGTCGTATTTGGAAGATTTCTGTTAGAGGGAGAGGTTGCCAGATAATCTTTTTTTAGTTCGTGATTGTGGAGTGTATGCTGTGTCACTGCAGCGCTGTATGGTCTCTTAAGGGTTTAGCGCTTCGTTATGATAATAATGCTGTGTCAGTGTCGTCGCTTAATTTTCTATGTCTCTTGGCAGATGATCTCGAGACACTTTGTTCTTTGGCACGTGTTCAGTCTGTGACTCATGGCGTCGTGGGGGAAGCAGGTTTCAGAGCCAAGGTAAAGCAGGTTCAGAGTACCAGGAAAAAAACATAGAATCCCAGGCCCGGTTTCGGGTAACAGTTGGTCGCTCAAAAGTGGTTAAGATAAGATGAAATAAGGTTTGTTCGGATTTTTAACTCTGAGGGTTAGTCACCCAGGATAACCCTAGAAAGTCAGTGCGGTATCGAGGAATGTCTGTCGTATTTCTGTTGTGGTCTTTCAGTCTTGTCCCCCAGAATGCGAAACACATCAGTCGGCTAACACCTAGGTGCCTACGTGTTGCTAGGTGAAAAGGGACAGCAGATGTAAGGAAACATGCCCAACGTTTTCACCCATGCCGGGGATTGAACCACGGACACTCAGTGTGTGAGGAGAGAGCGTTGCTAACCGAGCCACAGGACACCGTTCTGAGGAGTCCATGCTCGTAGCCACAGGACACCGTTCTGAGGAGTCCATGCTCGTAGCCACAGGACACCGTTCTGAGGAGTCCATGCTCGTCCCGAGGGTGGAAAGGGTTTCACAGTCACTGAAAATCCGTGAGAAGCTCCGAAAATCCGGGGGCAGCTCCGAGAATTAACGAAGAAACCACATACCCATCCTAAACAATACCCACCCTAAACAGTAACACCTATCTGGTGCACAACACTAGGATGTCACCTCCATAATTGACTACCAAGACTCAGCAAAACTCCTATTTAGACAAAACCACGAACTATGCAGTAGTCTTCCAGCTAATAATGAAAGTGGGCAAACTAGGAAGAGTGCCAAGAGTCACCTACCTTCAGAGGTCACTCTAGGATCCACAGGGCACCTCCAGAGGTAATTGTGTCATCAGAGGTCTCACGAGATGGTCACACGATGTCTCACCACAGGGTGACCTGACCAAAAAAAAATAAAAATTAATAAAAGTTTCCCAGTACTAGAAATACTGTCTTCTCCGCTGGGATATTTAAACGAAGAATTAGTGTCCTGGCAAACCTGGATAACATCACTCATGTGACAGACTGGTGTAATAACTGCGTAATAACAAAATTCTAAGAATGTCAAAAACATCTAATGAGCTACCTAGGCCATGTTAAGCTACAAATTTAAATATTTTTATTTATATAATAAATAAAAGTCATAGGTATTCTAATGACATTTAAAAAAAACGCCTAACATGATTTCTCTCTCTCTCTCTCTCTCTCTCTCTCTCTCTCTCTCTCTCTCTCTCTCTCTCTCTCTCTCTTCTCTCTCTCTCTCTCTCTCTCTCTCAAATGGTTAGGTTTTATCAAACTGTTTGAATACAAGCAAACAACTAGGAAAACTTTTTCAAGCATCATGTAAGCTCCCACGTCCTCTCAACCGGGCGTGGAGGGATATAAATAAAATCAAGGGTAACAAGACTGTACAGGGTATATACACACTCTTGAGAAGTGTGTAGCTGTGTATATTACAGGCGCTTAACAGATTATGTACACAAAAGACATTGCACAAAGTGCAACATGAATTGTTATTGAAGACGTGATGCCAATTAGAAGAGGGATTCACAAATTATCCATCGACTAATATCCTAATTTCTTCAGTTACAATGTCAAAATGGCACGACACAAAAAGCCATTCACAATAAACTACCTCTCAGAAGAAACTGATATCCCGGTTCCTTCAGTAAAATGGGCAAATTAGGACTTACGCGAATAACACAACGCTCCGTTTTAGACAAATGCACCAACACCTTAAGTTTGAAGTCGTTCAGAAGTTGCATTCTCAAGATATCTGAAACAAATTATTTTAATATAATTGGCAAGTTGGTACCTAAACAGTTTATTAGGAATCTAAAGCCTCCCCTAAGTAAGATACATTTGTGTTGAAGGTTTGAAGACGATAAAAACAGGCATTTGGACGTTAATACGTGAAAATCAGTATCCCATAACTTCCAGCTTTATCAATAAAATTCAACTTATCACTTACAACACCTCAAGATTAGTCCAATCCTTTCTCCGAGTAAAATATACCAGCTTTAAACGTTGACGTCCTCAAAGAAGGTTCCTTGATGTCATTGAGAGGCTCTTGATGCAAGGACTAGACTTCACTTCTTGGACCGAAAATGATTATTTCTCACTCTCCCAGACATTGTATGACCATTACTGGTTTAGTGCTTCCCACCTCCACCCTAACATGAATATAATAATAATAATAAGAAGAAGGGTTTCTTTGAAGCTGTTCGGAGGAAGCATTCTGCAACGCACATATACACACCAATTATCTCAGTTTTAACTACGTGAGAAAATTGTCAAATTTGGACGAACATAGCTTTAAACAATAATGAAGTATCTTCTCGGTTAGATGACCCTTGTGGGTTTAGCGTTTAGTTAATAATAATAATAATAATTTTTAGATGCATCTTCCTTTAAAGTTTGAAGCATTCAGAAAAGACATTAAATAATCTGCCATGAAATTGACATAATAGTACCCACACACTTGAAAAATAATCTGACCCTTCTACACAGGATATATAACCTTGTAAATTCGAAACTCTCTCAAAGTTGTCGCACAAACTCTAAAATCACTTCTTGGTCTATAAAATTAACACAGGAACACCAGCTCATGAGCTTTTTCCCTAGATGCCGTACACCAGAGTTGAAAATTTGAAGAATAAAAAAAAATCAGCATCTGTGGGTCTTCCCCTGATACCTAGTGACTTTTGGGTTATCCTAGTTTGCACCTACATAACTTACTTTCGATGCACCCTTGAAAGACCCTTATGGGTTTAACACTTCGTTATGATTATAATGCATAATGTACCCTTAAAATTATATATTTGTTACAACAATGTGTAGCTGAATGATAGTTTGTAAAACTACGCGTAGTAACGAAAACTCTACGGACATCTCAAGTCTAGTTTCGTCTCTTATATCTCATATTTTCAGTTTAATTCCAGCTCCCGGGTCATTTGAGGGTGATAATCTACAGTTACTGTTCCTTATGAGGGTGTTGATCTACAGCTCCTGGAGCCTTTTGAGGCTGTTAAGCTGTAAGTTCCAAGCTAAAACTCTTGAAGATATTGGTCTCCAGGACTCTTTGAGAAGGTTCCGTTAGAACTTCTAGGTTTCTTGAAGGAGGTGAGCTACAGTTCCTCTGCCTCTTGAGCTGTATAGCCCTTGTGGCTTAACGCTTCTTGTTGATTATAATAATAATAATCTGCCTCTGTTGATTATAATAATAATCTGCAGCCACTAGACTTCTTACGTACTTTGAGGTTATAGAGGGGTTGGAATTATGGTATATGGGGAATAACTGGGATTGCGCAGCGTCTGAAACACGTTTAGCCCTATCACTAATTGTAGTCTTAATAATCCACACGGAGTCGACAGGCTTTAAACATAAATCTAAGTCTTGATTAGGTCTCACACCCTCATTTCTACAGAGCAAATGAATTTATGTAGCTGTAACAACCTCCCCTTCCTTGTCACGCACATGCTTAGCTTGCTCTGCTACAAGGATGTCTCCTACCTGATTATTAATTCTACCAGTTATTAATTCTACTATGTATTATAGTACCATCAGGCTGGTTTACGATTACAACATTCCCTTCTCTCCCACTGTCAGGGTAGATAATCTGTGTTTTAGTATGCACAACAATATTACCAGCGTATCTAATTTTCATTGTACTATGGTTCAATTTCTAACTTTGTCATATCTGTTTTTCATAGGCCATCATGTAAGCTGTTTTACAGGGATGACCCACTCAAAATTCTGCGAGCCTCAGGAACTTATATGTATGATGAAAAAGGGCACAGATATCTTGACTGTATCAACAATGTTTGCCATGGTAAGTCTGCAGTGCTTCTAACATTTACTTTATGTATACCTTCTTGTCTTTTCATTTTATAATTTTTAGATTTGCATACAATAATTAAAGAAAAATATATGCTTAATTATCCTTAATTTACTTATTGGTGATAAATAACAAAAAAGGCACAATACTGTGACCGGAACGATACACAAATAACCCGCATATAGAAGACAGGAGCTTACGACGACGTTATTTGTGTATTGTGTATTTATTGGTAGTTTGTTTTATTGGATAATTATTTAATGTCTACTTGTGTTTTACCTTGTAAGTTTGTGAGGGTTGCTTTATTGGTAAGAGTGAAGGGTATATACCTTTGATATACATTTGATGAGTTCCGAGAGTTTTTCTACTGCCGGAGCCTAGCCATGGATGTAAGAGAGAGAGGCAAGGACAGGATTAATTCATGGAATCTTCTGGTTGGGTGTACAACAAGTTTTTTGTAAAGTATACTTATATTTTAAATAGATACTATACCCTTTTACTAGCCAGAATATTTTTGTATATTTTAATACATATTGATACCTGATTGCAGCTGCATTTGTTTATTAATTAAAGCTATATTTATTCTTGTTTAATTCTGTTTATCCATTGGCATCGCAGCCTATTAGCCTGTTCATTCTTTTGAGGTCTTTCCTTGATGCTCTCCCTTCCTCCCTCCTTTTCCAGAATGCTAATTGTCGTCAGTTCTTCATTGTTCATCACTCATGTCACATACTAAATATGAACTGCTTCTAACATACTAAATATGAACTGCTTTTAATCTTATTCATCCTTCCTACCACATTATCTGTATTATCCTTCATTATATTACACTCCCAGGATCATCATATTCTTTCACCCTTTCTACTTTCTTATATCTTTCAAATGCAGCTTTTTAAAAGTTTCTTTTTATTAAATAATCCTTCCAATTATTTAATGACAATTCTCTTACCTTATTTTTTAATTTTTACCCCTTATATTGATTTTTTATATATACTTACATGTACAGTAGTCTTGTATTTCGATAACCCAATATTTTTTCTTAAGAGCAGTGAACAAACAGATTCAGTTAGGCAATATTTTTTGTGCTCATTGACTTTCTCACACCCAAATCTCTTCATGTTCTGGCTGTATTACAGCAGTTTGTTCTCTGAAACTCAGATTGAACAAAAATTTGCAACTAAATTTGTGTTTTAGTTTCCCGAGACTCACTAGGAACATAATCTTTTAGGAATGGCTGTATAGTGTGTTTATACTTATTATCCATATTCAGTATATGTAAATACAGCAAATCCTCAATTAGTACAAATTTAAATAGTACGAAATTCGTGTTAGTTCGAATTATAAAATAATACCAGACCTTATTTAATGGCTTTCTTTGTATTTAGCAAACCAAAATTGTAATTGCACATTGTAACCTTTACAAAGAAATAAAATCTTTATCTTTACGAGTCAAAATTCGGGCAGTACGAGTTTGCTGCCCATCCTGTGGCAAGACTTGCCACAGCTTCTTGTCCTATACACGTTTAGTTCTATATTATATTTTAAATTTTGATAAACTACCCTTACCAAATATGGATAAACGAATACTTATAATGCAAGCGCAAAAAAAAGGAGGCTTGTTATTACATTAGCGACTTTTGAGTGTATGACAGTGAAGGAAAACTGAGTTGATGTGGAAACTGCAGAAGCTTTTATTGCAAGCAATGGTTGGTTTGACTGTTTTAGAAATTGAATTCAATTGCATAATGTTAAAATTACTGGTTAGTCTGCCAGTGCAGATAAAGAAGTTGTTTTCCTATTGTATTTTTCCTTCTCATTTGCAAGCTGTTGTTGGAGAAATAACCAAGGGGCTCTTGATCTAGGGAATTAGAGCTGTTCTCCAGTTCCCTGAATGCCTTCCCCCCACAGGCGCTGTATAATCCTTACGGGTTTAGCGCTTCACCATAATAATACAAATGACCATGACTTGCTTGAATCACACTCAGAAGAAATGACTAATGGAGAGACCTTGAATTACAATTTCGATCAACAGATTATGCTGCACAGTTTTGGTCACCGTATTACAGAATGGATATAAATTCTCTGGAAAATGTACAAAGGAGGATGACAAAGATGATCCCATGTATCAGAAACCTCCCCTATGAGGATAGACTAAGGGCCCTGAAACTGCACTCTCTAGAAAGACGTAGAATTAGGGGGGATATGATTGAGGTGTATAAATGGAAGACAGGAATAAATAAAGGGGATGTAAATAGTGTGCTGAAAATATCTAGCCTAGACAGGACTCGCAGCAATGGTTTTAAGTTGGAAAAATTCAGATTCAGGAAGGATATAGGAAAGTACTGGTTTGGTAATAGAGTTGTGGATGAGTGGAACAAACTCCCAAGTACCGTTATAGAGGCCAGAACGTTGTGTAGCTTTAAAAATAGGTTGGATAAATACATGAGTAGATGTGGGTGGGTGTGAGTTAGACCTGATAGCTTGTGCTAACAGGTAGGTTGCCGTGTTCCTCCCTTAAGTCAATGTGACCTGACCTGACTAGGTTGGGTGCATTGGCTTAAGCCGGTAGGAGACTTGGACCTGCCTCGCATGGGCCAGTAGGCCTTCTGCAGTGTTCCTTCGTTCTTATGTTCTTATGTAATAACGTTTGCCTGAATTTTTTTTTCTTTTGAGTTATCCTAGGTAATTTACACATGTTACTAGTAGGATAATTGTACTCATGTGTACCTGTACCTAATAAACTTAGAGTATTTTCAATGAAGTGAGACCAATTATCATACTGTGTTATAACAGCTTCACAGAGGACGAATTTGATTAATGTGATTGTTTAGTGAGATTCATCTCATTATTCATATTATTATTATTATAATCAAGGGGAAGCGCTAAACCCGGAGGATTATACAGCGCCTGGGGGGGATGTGGAAGGCATTCAGGCTTAATTCGGGGAACTGGAGCACAGATCCAATTCCCTAAATCAAGAGCCCCTCACCAACATCAAGGAACCTTTCTTGAGGGGTCATTATTTATAGTAATAGAGGTTTTACTGTACTGTACCTAGCAGTCCATATATTGTATGGTGTACTATATATATCCTATTGTGTCTTCTCATTACAGTGGGCCATTGTAACCCATACGTTGTCTCAGCAGCAATGCAGCAGATGGCAGTTCTCAACACTAACAGCCGATTTCTACATGATAACTTAGTTCTCTATGCGGAAAGGTCTCAGTAATGTGTTTTCTGTTAAATATTTACAATTTATATATTTTTATGATGTAACAGCTTTCTCATACAGAATAATTTTCTTTTTTTAATTTTAATAGGTACATTTTTAACATAATTAAACTTAAGTAATCTGTTTTCTTGAGAAGCGAAGTGTGCAATTCATTTTTTTTTAAATTACAAGAGGTATTTATTATTAGTCTAGTAATGCATTTAGAAAAATTAGTATTGTACAATAATGCAATCATTTTAAAAAGTTTACTGATATATTTTAGCTAATACAGGATATTTGTATAAGAAATGTTAATGTTGATATCATTTCATTATTCAACAGGTTATTAACATTCTTCCCAAAGGAATTATGTGTGTGTTTCTTTGTGAATTCTGGCAGTGAAGCAAATGATTTGGCATTACGTATGGCACGTACACACACAGGCAAGAAGGATGTCATTACTTTAGACCAGTAAGTACCAACACTTCTCAAATTCATTGTGTCTAGTTGTAAAGGACCCCAATGGAAATAAGTCACTCTTAACTTTTCTGGGTTATCCTATGTTCTCTATACATATGCTGCTGTATAACCCTTGTGGTTTAGCGCTTCTTTTTTTATTATAATAATAATAATACACATATGCTGCTATGTATGAGAATCTATATTAACTGTACTTGTGTGTACCTGAATAAACTAACTTATTACCTATGTACCAGGATTGGTGTATTTACATCTTGAGTCACAACAAAACACTATATATTTTAAATATAATTCTGTAATTTACTAGTACTACTAATAGTGGTGATACTAAAAGTGTTTCCTTTTTGGGTCACCTGTCTCGGTGGGAGACGAACACTGAGTTAAAACACAAGTATATAACAGTAATAATAAAAATTGTAGGTCGTGATATGTGTGCTTTAAATAGTATTTAACTGTGTAACATTACACCTTTAAAAACAGTTATCATTGCTACTGTAAACATTGGCTATTGCATATTAGTGGCTTTCTTTTGTGTCTTTCAACGATATATTTAATGTAAGCTACATTATTTGTACCATATAAAGAAATAAAGAACAAAAAGACACAGTACTGTGACTGGAACAATACACAAATAACCTGCACATAGAAGAAACTCATGACAATGTTTTGATCCGACTTGAACCATTGATTGGTTAATGGTCCAAGTTGCACCAAAATGTCATCATAATTTTCTTTCTCCTATGTGTGGATTATTTATTTAAAGAAATAATTTTGTATTGTGTTGTACTAGGTTAAAGCTCATAAAATAAGTTCTTATATCTAGCCAGTGGGTGGAATTTCAAGATTTCAGATATTTTATCATTAATTGTAAAACAATTTACCATTTCCATTGTTGATTGTTTGAGCATGTCTGTAAATGGTTGGATGTTTGCACACCGCAATACTTGTATAATGTTCCCCATGTGTCACTCCTGTCTCTGTCCACACTGTTCATCTCATGTGATGGACATCTCCATACAAACTGAACTGCCATAGATATACATATTTTAGTCTTAGTGTAACAATGACAATGTCATGTAGTCTACTTATCTAGTAATTTTCTCCTTAGTCATATTTTATTTAACATATTATGATTGACAATGGATCAGCTAGTTCCTACATGTTCTGTTCTTTCTTCAGACTCATTTGCTAGGTAATCATGTTTTACCCAATAAAGAGAAGGTCAGGTTGGATCCAATTCTTTATATCCAGAGCCCCGCCTACCTCCTCACCAGTATCAAGCTACCTTCCTTGAGGGAGGTTTTAGAAATCAAAATTATATTCAAAAGAATGTTGGCTATAATTTTGTTTATTACTAATTTAACCAAAGCATATAATTGAACAGGCCATTGTGAGTGTCCACAAAAATTTGACTTCAATGGCTTTGTCAATAATTTGTGCATTTCTGTGTCTGGCCTCATACATAAGCATGTTACTTTCATATGGTAGGCCTGTTACAGCAAGGTAATAAGGTTAGAGAATCAATGACAATAAAACTATCTTTACTTTCATATATGTAGGCTTACCATAGTCATGGCAGTACTACATAATGGCAAATTGTTTGTATACGTATATACAGTTGAACTTCAGTTAAAACTGTAGCTAAGTTCTTGAAAAATGGCCTCTAATAAAAAAAAATTGTCTAAAAGAAACTGAAGAACATAGGTGAAAAATAGGGTTACATTCACTGAACACCCAAAAAATGGTAAAAAAAATTTTTTTTTTAGGTATCAAATTTAAAAAAAATGTAAATGTAGTTAGTTTCCATAATGTATAATGTTTGGTAGGTTGTTTAAGACTTCAGATACTACATAAATAATATTTCTTACCTTAAATTATGGCTGCTGGTGTATGTCGATGAGTTTGAAATTAGTGGAAAGGGATACTGTGGTCCTATTGGGCTAAGGTGGAAGGTTGTGGATCATTAGATGTGGTGGAAGATTGTGGATCGTTACCTGAGGTGGAAGGTTGTAGATCGTTACCTGAGGTGGAAGGTTGTGGATTGTTACCCAAGGTGGAAGGTTGTGGATTGTTACCTGAGGTGGAAGGTTGTGGATCGTTACCTGAGGTGGAAGGTTGTGGATCGTTACCTGAGGTGGAAGGTTGTGGATCGTTACCTGAGGTGGAAGGTTGTGGATCGTTACCTGAGGTGGAAGGTTGTGGATCGTTACCTGAGGTGGAAGGTTGTGGATCGTTACCTGAGGTGGAAGGTTGTGGATCGTTACCTGAGGTGGAAGGTTGTGGATCGTTACCTGAGGTGGAAGGTTGTGGATCGTTACCTGAGGTGGAAGGTTGTGGATCGTTACCTGAGGTGGATGGTTGAGGCTCTGGCACTGATGTTGATGGTTGCACTGGAGTGGTGAGAAATTCTCTAAATGCATCTCTGGTCTGTCTTTACCTTCCAGTATTTTATACAGCTGACAGTAAGGCATCATCAGCTGCTCTAGACCTGTTTCAGAGCAGGCTTCTAGTTTTGTCAGGGTGCTCTTAAAGCATCTGGATTCTTGGAGAAATAAACAAGCATGGGCTTGCATTTTAAATCTGATGCATTACTGCAAAGAAGCAAGCTGAAATGGTCTTTTGTGGCCTTGAATGTAGGAGCAGTTCTCTTGTTTGCTGTTGTCTGCTCTAGATAGCATCATCTTCCAGGACAAGCCTGTTTCATGAGTATTAAATACTGTACTTGTTCAGATTTGTAGCCACACTCAGAGATAATGTTTGCTAGCTTGGCTGGAAACTTTTCTGTTACAGAATGGTTGGCAGAGGCACTCTCCCCACTCAACTTCATATTATGCAGGCCACTGCACATTCTAAACTTCTTAAACCATCCAGAACTAAATGTGGACTCATTTTTGGGCTGTCCCTCGTCACATTATTTTATAAAAAGACTTTTTCCCTAATAAGGCCATCAAGTGGAAAACCTTTCTTTGTTTTTCAATCCCAACATTTAGTGAACTTTATTTTACTCAGCTGCAATGACATATTCCTCATTCTTTTCATTGTGTCATGTTAAGGATTACTTATTGCACAAATCTTTATCTTGACTCATTGTTTTAAATGGAGAGGGCCATATACGTACATAGTAGGGAGGGATCTATTCTTGCCTGTTGTTACACTCCTTAACAGAAATGTTGTCATGAATAGAAGTGAATTGCACTAGCATGCCTTAATAAAAATGGCACACTTTTATTGGAAATAAAAAACTAATTTAAATCACAGAATATTAAAAATGCAAGAAATGATTGCACGACTTATGGGGTTTAATGTGTCTGTGCTTGCATGTTTGGGGGTGCATGTATGTGGTGTATATATGTATGTCTTTCTTTGTTTCGTTTTATTATTATAAATGTTATGCCGATACCATGAAAATTAGTTTATACTGATACCCATCCATCCAAATCAACTGATACCACCAGTACCAATACTTTGGCACATCTTTAGCAATTACAGTACATCGGAATAATGGATTGTTGAGTGCCCACAGTTTTAATTTTTGCTGTAATGTATTGAATACACATACTGAATTTTAGTTTGTAGTGTAGGTACAAGCCTCAAATTTTACCTTCATTTTTCTAATAACCTTTTTTTTTTTCTATTTATTTTGATGTTTATTTGGTTGATGGTTTTATTGCCAAAAATCATACAGTAAATCTTTGTAATATTTGATGTAAGTTTGTTAGCTGTCAACCACATGAGGATATTTTTTAGTTTATTATTTGTGTTCTTTAGTGCAGTAGGAACAGGACTTGAAAAGACAGCAGTAGTTTAGTTAGCAAAACACATTAGTTTGATATGTTGGGTGACATTTGGTACGTCATTGATACAGAGAAGCAAGAGGAGAAGGCTGTGTATACTACCCTTGGGAACACCAACATTTATTGATAAAGTGGATGTGGTAATATCATTTGCGTTAACTTATTGGTCACTCAGCCCTCATTTAAGTGAACTCGTAATAGAAAAGTTTGTTTTACTGTTACAGTACCGTACACTGAAAAAGAATTGTAGCTTAAAATGTGTCAGCTTTCAGTTATTTCAAGTAATCACCTGCAGTATTTTTAACCGAGTACCGTGTTTTGGCACTGTATTGATAAAAGAAAAATATTGTAAAGGAGCACTGGGAGTATTTTACCATACATTTTTATGATAATTATTGTAAGTAAAAACACAGAGGAAATTTTTACTTTATTATTTAGTTAGTTACAATTCACACTGAAACGTTTCATTACACTTTAAAGTCTAGAAGGCACACATCATATAACTAGAAATTGTGTATAGATATTAATATATAATTATCTTATTAGTTGTTAAAGCATATGACTTGTACACTAAGGAAGAAAGCTGCATTTTTCTTGTAATAATTACCAACAAGTTTAAATACTGTAGTGCATAGTTTGTAATATTACATTCTAAATCAGTATTTTATTTTGTATATTGAATTCCTAGTTACCCTTCTCTTTCAGTGATCCCTGATTAATTTTCTTTATTTTCGTACAAATCCTGATTTTTTTTTTATGAAGCATAAATTTCTGTAAACGTAGAAATGCTATAAAAAAATAATTTACAAAGTTATTTAAATTGTTTAAATTTAATTTAACATCCCCAGAAATTACAGTATAACTTTACAATGCCACCTCCCTTAATTGTGGGAAATTACTCGTGGGATTGAAATTCATTGTAGAACAGTATGAAGAAATCACTGTAACTGATAAATCTGTACCAACAATGGTATTTGGCTATACTGGCCATTCCAGTGATGATAGTTCCTCCACAGTGCTTACCATGGCCATGTGTCTTCCTTGATCGACATCTCGCCTTACAAGTTTAACCACCCAGGTGGTGAGGGACAAGCAGACTGGGTCCATGTTGTGAGTGTTTACAAACTCTTGATTTTATAGTACAAGTCTATAGATTTTATAGTGCAGTGCTAGACATATTTGATTTGCTATATCTTTTCACTTTTATTGTTTTGTATATATCCAAAAATTAAGATCTTTACTTGTACAATATCATAATTTTTCTCACACGAGTAACTTTGAAAGTATGTGGCTTATTTTCCTTTACATTTATAAGTATGGTAGGAAGACATGTGCAGATCAGACCTTTCTTGATAGACTGCATTTCACTCTGACGAGAGACTTGTGAAGTCAGTAATTTGTAGATAAGATAGTAATGATATAATGGTTGGAAATATGATTAAATTTAAAAATATTAGGAACATGGTGTAATTTATAATTTGAATGTAAAAGTTTAATGGTAATTTATGGAGACACATTTGAAATTGCTTCAGAAATACTGGTATATTCACCACAGAATGTTTTAACTTTGATTAAATTCTTTAAGTTTAAAAAATTGTAATTCATCTGACAAATTTTTGCATATTTTGTGCCTTTTATTTGCACCAATTTTTTGTAGAGATTCAGGCAAACAAAAGGAATAGCAAAGAAGTATTTCTTTCAAGAGTGATGTCTGTGTTTTATGTTAATGTTCTAGCAAGTATCTTGGGTCACCATTAACATTACAGTAGTGTTTTGATGATGCAGCATGAACAGTATTTTGTATGGCATTACTATTTACTAGATTTAGGGATTTAAATAAGTGCATAGTGTGAGTTTGGGGCTCTGATAGCTGCCTTTTGTTATGACTGATTGGAAGTGGGTAGTTGAGGAAGAACTCCAAGCAGAGGTAAATGAAAGTAGTAGTGTATTAAATAGAGATAGGTATATAGCAGTGAATTTTGAAGAGTGTACATACAAGTTTATATACTGTTTTTGAATGAGTTTGATATAAGCATTGAATTTTAATTTATTTCCTACAAGTAGACCCAGGAACTTAACCCTCATCCTTTTTCTCAGCTTTGGATTCATTAATTTTGATATCTGATTGTGAACATTATTTATTCCCAAGTTCCCAAAACCGTTAACATGACTCACGAAATTGTAACAACACGATTGCAAACAAACCATACCACAGGTGGGGATAGAACCCGCGATCAGAGAGTCTCAAAACTCCAGACCGTCGCGTTAGCCACTGGACCAGCTAGCCACAATAAGATTCGTCCAATTAGGTATATTTCTACACCATAGGAAGGTTAGCATAGGCACCACTGTGACCACAAATGCAAGTCTGGAGTTCTGAGACTCTCTGATTGTGGGTTCTATCCCTGCCCGTGGTGTGGTTTGTTTGCAATCGTGTCATTACGATTTCGTGAGTCATGTTAACGGCTTTGAGGGGACTTGAGCTAGAGTTCGTCACGGCCACGCTAGCTGGAGATTTGCCTGTAAAAACTTGCTTTTGTGGTCACAGTGGTGCCTATGCTAACCTTCCTGTGGTATAGAAATATACCTAGTCCAGTGGCTAACACGACGATCTGGAGTTCTGAGACTCTTTGATCGCGTTTTCTATTCCCACCCGTGGTATGGTCTGTATTAATGATACTGCACGTAAAACACATATTTGTTTTTTACACAAAATCACCTAAAACCACTAATAAACCAACAAAAAACCACTGTGCAGACTATCACCCATTCCTGTACCAGACAATGCACTTCCCCATTATTTGAAAGCTTGAGCTTCATTTACAAAATATGTACTCGCACTACTGTGCTGATTATGTGTGTACTATGTAGTATATAGAACATTAAATTTCAACATAAACTCTCCTCTGAAAGATTTCCTTGATAGCTGGAACAGAACACACAGGCATAACACTAGATACAAAACCCTCTTTGAGTCCCCCGTATCTGACTCTACCTGTGCAAAAACTGAATGAGCATAAAAGACCCTGTGCACATAAAAGATCCCATAGCTCATTTGCTAGCACACTCAGTTCACACACTGAGGTCTGGGGTCGATCCCAGGTACAGCTGGAAACATTAGGACATATTTCCTTTAGACACCTGCTGTCCATGCTCACTTAGGTAACTGGGTATTAGTCATCTGTTGTGGGTTGCATCCTGGGATAAAATTGACCTAATTTGGCCAAAATGCTCTGTATAACAAGGGGCTTTCTGTATAGTAGTATGTCATTGATGTCAGCCAGGCTTGTATACCTTGTACATGCACTTGAAATAAATATTATTATTATTATTATTATTATCATTATTAAGATCTGGAATTCATTGCCTAAATCATCAAAACATTCCCTGTCTGCCAATCATTTCAGAGCTATTGTTAAAAAGCACCTAATTTCCTTAATGTAACTGAACCAGCAATACACTAGTTCAGTTACACCGAATCAGTTTAACCCCTTGACTGTCGCAACCCCCAATCCTGAGGTGTCTCCTGGTGTCGCAAAATTTCAAAAAAAAAAAAAAAAAAATTATTTTTTCTTATGAAATGATAGAGAATCTTTTCCCGATTTGTAAAGACACCAAAAAAACGAAATTTGATGGAAAACTGATGGAATTATGCTCTCACGAAGTTAGCGACCTCGGCGATATTTACAAATCGGCGATTTCGCCCACTTTGAGCCCTATTTTTGGCTAATTCCATTATTCCAGTCAACCAAACTCATAGCTATTTCTTCAGAACTCCATCTTTTCTATCGATTAAGTACAAGAAACTGCCCATTTACCGATTTCAACTACCCAATAACATGGTCAGAAATTTGCAGTTTGGCCAATTTAACGAAAATTAAAAAATATGACAATTTCAAAATAAGGACCAGAATGAACAGTGCAGACATTCCTGGCTCTAAAATAACATTTTCTTTGTTCATCAGTCATGTCTCCAGGCCTCTCTGATATTACTCTTGCATTTTATTTTGAAATTTTATTCAAACAAAAAATAGAAGATTTACTGTTATGCAGACTACTGCAATACTGTAATAATTGTAAAAATTACATCAACCCATTCATGACTGCATATTAGAATGGCTAGTTGGACATTTATTGGACAATGACATCATTTGTTTACTTTTGAACATCGGCAAAAATCAAACATTTCCTGTACTTTGTGCTACATTTCCAGGTTTTTTTTAAAGTAAAATAAATCAAAATCACCTCTATTTCTATAATATATTTTCCATTCTATCAAATGAGACCAAGAAAACGAGAATACAACCATAAATACTATACGAAAATAGACCACAAAGTCGGCATTTTAATAAAAAAAAAACGGTCGTAGTTTTTTTTTCTCATTATGCACTGCGTGCTCCACTGCGTGCACACTGACCACACGACCCATTCTCTCACATGTGGGCCTACCAGCTTTCTCCTGCTTGATTTGAAGCCACTAGAATTTATGAGTATATATACGTCAAACACGGTACCTCGTAAGACGTATATATACGGCCCCGCGACAGTCAAAGGGTTAAAATAAGTTGTGCTTTTAAAATTATACCATTTGTTTATTGGCTACCTTTTTTTATTGTGCATATAATCATAGTTAACTGCATAAGAAATCCTACTTAATAGTTTGTCTAATTCTTGTATAGTCTTAAGCATTAGGGATTAGTTTACCTGAAATGCATTGCATACTAGATGCTTCCACTTTACGATGGTTCAACTTATGATATTTTGACTTTGCGATGGTGCAAACCTTTTTTTTTTTTTTTTTTTTTTTGCACAGTACTGTACATTTATTGATAGGATAAACTTATATTCATTTACTTTTCAGTACTGGTATTTACTTAGTTAATTATTTGTTTACTCATTCAATGACTCTAGTTATTTACTTATTTATTTATCATAGTCATATTTGACTTGCAATATTTTCAACTTAAATGGGATCATTGAAATGTAGCTCCATCGTAAGTTGAGGAGCATGTAGTGACTTCCTTTCGTGCCTAACAATTTTTTTTTTTACACGAAGACTACATTATTTTTGTACTACATGAAAAGAAATAAAAATTTGAACTTGATGTCACATTAGTTCTTAAGAAAATGAGGCATGAACACCAACTGGCTAGTGTTTATACAATGAGTTTGCGGTAAGATACTTCACTGACAATGATGATCTGATAAGAAATGTCACCATATCAAAAACAATATACTCAGATCACAACATAATTGAGGCTCAGACATGTATGCGTGGAGCCCCAGACCGACATAATGAGACTAGTCACAAAGGAGCATTCACCAAATTCAACTTCAATAACAAAAACATAAAGTGGGACCAAGTAAACCAAGTCCTAACCGATATAAGCTGGGAAGATATACTAAGCAACACAGACCCCAACTTATGCCTAGAACAGATTAACTTGGTGGCACTCGATGTATGCACAAGGCTTATTCCTCTAAGAAAAAGGAGGAGTAGATGTAAAATAGAAAGAGACAGGCGCTCCCTTTACAGGCGACGGAAAAGAATAACAGAGCTGCTAAAAGAGGTCAATATATCTGAAATGCATAGGGAGACACTGGTCAGAGAAATAGCAAGCATCGAACTTAAGCTAAAGGAATCTTATAGGAGTCAGGAATTGCGGGAAGAACTAAAAGCCATAAATGAAATCGAAAGAAACCCAAAGTATTTCTTCTCCTATGCCAAATCAAAGTCAAGAACAATGTCCAGTATTGGGCCCCTACTTAAACAAGATGGGTCCTACACAGATGACAGCAAGGAAATGAGTGAGCTACTCAAGTCCCAATATGACTCAGTTTTTAGCAAGCCGCTAACCAGACTGAGAGTCGAAGATCAAAATGAATTTTTTACGAGAGAGCCATAGAATTTGGTTAACACAAGCCTATCCGATGTTATCCTGATGCCAAATGACTTCGAACAGGTGATAAATGACATGACCATGCACTCTGCCCCAGGGCCAGACTCATGGAACTCCGTGTTCATCAAGAACTGCAAGAAGCCCCTATCACGAGCCTTTTCCATTCTATGGAGAGGGAGCATGGACAAGGGGTTTGTCCCACAGTTACTAAAAACAACAGACATAGCCCCACTCCACAAAGGGGGCAGTAAAGCAACAGCAAAGAACTACAGACCAATAGCACTAACATCCCGTATCATAAAAATCTTTGAAAGGGTCCTAAGAAGCAAGATCACCACCCATCTAGAAACCCATCAGTTACACAACCCAGGGCAACATGGGTTTAGAACAGGTCGCTCCTGTCTGTCTCAACTATTGGATCATTACGACAAGGTCCTAAATGCACTAGAAGACAAAAAGAATGCAGATGTAATATATACAGACTTTGCAAAAGCCTTTGACAAGTGTGACCATGGCGTAATAGCGCACAAAATGCGTGCTAAAGGAATAACAGGAAAAGTCGGTCGATGGATCTATAATTTCCTCACTAACAGAGCACAGAGAGTAGTCGTCAACAGAGTAAAGTCCGAGGCAGCTACGGTGAAAAGCTCTGTTCCACAAGGCACAGTACTCGCTCCCATTATGTTCCTCATCCTCATATCCGACATAGACAAGGATGTCAGCCACAGCACCGTGTCTTCCTTTGCAGATGACACCCGAATCTGCATGACAGTGTCTTCCATTGCAGACACTGCAAGGCTCCAGGCAGACATCAACCAAATCTTTCAGTGGGCTGCAGAAAACAATATGAAGTTCAACGATGAGAAATTTCAATTACTCAGATATGGTAAACACGAGGAAATTAAATCTTCATCAGAGTACAAAACAAATTCTGGCCACAAAATAGAGCGAAACACCAACGTCAAAGACCTGGGAGTGATCATGTCGGAGGATCTCACCTTCAAGGACCATAACATTGTATCAATCGCATCTGCTAGAAAAATGACAGGATGGATAATGAGAACCTTCAAAACTAGGGAGGCCAAGCCCATGATGACACTCTTCAGGTCACTTGTTCTATCTAGGCTGTATTGCTGCACACTAACAGCACCTTTCAAGGCAGGTGAAATTGCTGACCTAGAAAATGTACAGAGAACCTTCACGGCACGCATAACGGAGATAAAACACCTCAATTACTGGGAGCGCTTGAGGTTCCTAAAACTGTATTCCCTGGAATGCAGGCGGGAGAGATACATGATTATATACACCTGGAAAATCCTAGAGGGACTAGTACCGAACTTGCACACGAAAATCTCTCACTACGAAAGCAAAAGACTTGGCAGACAATGCAACATCCCGCTAATGAAAAGCAGGGGTGTCACTAGCACGTTAAGAGACCATACAATAAGTGTCAGGGGCCCAAGACTGTTCAACTGCCTCCCAGCATACATAAGGGGGATTACCAACAGACCCCTGGCAGTCTTCAAGCTGGCACTGGACAAGCACCTAAAGTCGGTTCCTGACCAGCCGGGCTGTGGTTCGTACGTTGGTTTGCATGCAGCCAGCAGCAGCAGCCTGGTTGATCAGGCTCTGATACACCAGGAGGCCTGGTCACAGACCGGGCCGCGGGGGCATTGACCCCCGGAACTCTCTCCATGTAAACTCCAGGAGACATTCCACCTGTAGAACAGGCTACTCGAGTTAATACCATAGGTAGACAACAACTATATTTACACAAGTGCCATCAGGTGAGTAGCCAGGCAGTGAAATCACGCTGTGGATAGTGAGAGATAGGGGCACTACAGGAGGGCTTCTGGTCATTTTGTGTGCCAGGTCACTGTTGAGGACCTGTTTATTTAAATGAATTTGGGCTGAAGGTCTGGCTCAGCTAAAAGCACTTGATTCTGTTGGATAGTATTTTGTGCATTACATATCAAAGCTTCCAGGAATCTGCATTTTTTTTTATATATAAACAAGCTGGACATCATTTTGGTACATCAGATGTGCCGTCTTGTACCTATGTTTAATGCAGGCATTAATGCAGACTAGCTAACTTTTTGATTTTAATGTTGATATCCTTTATCTTGAGTAAATCCATGGAGTGGCAAAGATGTTAGTTGTTGATAGAATCAAATAATTTGGTCATGTGGTTAGCCAAAGTGCCAATTAGTGTGATGTGTACTGCCTATACCAGTTGTTATGGCTCTCATGGGAACTTGTGGTTTGCATATTTTTTGGGGGCAACCAATACATGTTGGCCAGTCTGCGGTTAGGGGCAAGATGGCACAGCTGTTTTCTTTTTTTTGACTTGGTCCACCTTTGTCGGGATTTTACAGGCAGTGGGGAGAAGCAGTTTGGTACATTTTTCCAGCTCAGTTTGAGTGATTAGATTTCTTCATAGGTGGTGTTGGTGATTGTGGTGGTGGTGTCACTCAGGAGCTCGGACATCTTGGCTTCATGTGTGGTGGAGTCCGTAGTAACAACTGTCACTCTTGTTAGTCACAGTGACCTTGATGCTGGTGTCATGTGTCAAGTTATTGATACCTGTTATACATGCTAGTGGCCTTCTTTGTGCTTAACAGTGTATATTATTACACGTAAACTACACTATGTACTACACGAAGAACTAAAATATGTTTAATGTTGTTGGAGTGATTTAATGGGTTCTGAACGTGCAGCAGTTAATATACCCGGGATAAAACCTGCTGATTGTAATATGGATAAGCAGTCTGCATTATATATAATAAACATTAATTTACATTAAATTCAGGAAATGTTTTTAATATTAGTGAGTCAGATGGTAGATTGGGAACCTTTTGCCTCTTCTGTTAGAGAGTTCTATAATTTTCGGCCTTTTATTTGTAGAATTTTTATTCAGATTGACACAAACTTGTGGGATATCACAAAGAGCTTTGTTTCTTGCATTGTGTCTGTGTATTTTGTTGCAACTCTCCAAGAAAAGTTTGAACACTGGGTTAATATTTGTATTGAGTGTCCTGTATATATAGTATGCATAGCAGTAAGTGCATATATTCAAACTTTTGAAGGCCCCAAAAATATGAAGTCTCTACCAGCTCTGTATCTACCAAAAAACATTGCCAAAAACAACTGAATTTGATGTAATTCATGATGATTGAATATGAATGTCAAATGAATCTCGTGCAACTTGCCTGTCTAGATCCCAGTCAGCATGTACGTATACTTATTTCACACTTGTGCTATCCTCCAAACACCTTATTACTCAAAGTGAACATTCACATCCATCACATATCTGTGAAAAATTCTGTAAAGGTTGGCATTTCTTTTTTTAAATACATTACTATACTTAGTAATATACATGTACTACTCTGATCTATCCTTACCTCATTTATGATATATATGCATGCGGATCTTCAACAGCAGCTCACCATAAGCCCATCATAACTTAATGAAAAAATTTAGCCTGGTGGCTAAAGCTCTCGCTTCACACGGCAAGGGTCTGGGTTTGATTCCCAGCCAGGGTAGAAACATTGGGCGTATTTCTTTACATCTGTTGTCTGTGTTCACTCATCAGTAAAATGGGTACCTGGGTGTTAGTTGACTGGTGTGGGTCGCATCCTGGGACACTGACCTAATTTGCCCAAAATGCTCAGCATAACAAGGGGCTTTCTATATAGTAGTATGTCATTGATGTCAGCTAGGCCTGTATACCATATACATGTAGTAAATAAAGATATTATATTATGACTAGATCAAGTTCCACATAACTTACATATCCACTATATAAAAGTTAGGTTTCTTTGTACGTGTATTTTACTACAAGTAAATAACAACTGCTTAATTTATTCATTTCAATATGTATTTTATGTGTTTGTCAGTTGAAATGTTTACCTAAATTTAAACCTGATCTGTATATTGAGCAATTTCAGTCTTAAGAAGTTGGAAAGAGAAAATTTACAAATGCTATATTTTGTGTATGTGACCAAACTAATTAATGAAAGTGTGCAGCATTTAGTTGCAAGTAGAATACTGCATCAAGAATGTGATGTAAAAAACCTAATTGCAATAGTTCTATTATTTTTGTATTTTGTAGTGATACTGACAAGTTACATGAGCATTGTTTCTTTATTATACCTATGATTTTTGTTTTATGTAAATACTAAGTGGCTTTTAATGTTTTTACTCTTTAAATAGGCTCCTGTAGCAGATGTGTATAGAGGGAAGTACACTGACAAAGACTACTCTCTGGAAGAATTGTCAGAGAAATATGCCGATGAGGTGAAACAGCTGTGTGACAAGGCCACCAAGAAGAGTGGTGGAGTATGCCTCTTTGTAGCAGAGTCCATGCAAAGTTGTGGTGGACAGATTGTCTACCCACCTGGATATCTACGTCAAGTGTACAAGTTAGTAACAGTTTTGAAGAGAAATTAACAAGTTAAAAAGATTAGAGAGGAAATGGACTTGGCAGTTAAGAATGAGAGGTGTTAGTATAGGAAAGATGGAGTTGTTGAATATTGTTGATGAACAAGAAGTGGTGATCTTTGCATCAGGCAGTGAAGAGGAAGAGTTGACAGTAGTGTAGAAGAGCTAGAGGTGAGTGTGGGGGAAGTGTGTGAAGCTGTGAGGAGAATGAAAGAAGGTAAAGCAGTTGGGTGAGATCAGATTAGGACTGAGATACTCAAAGCATGTGGTGGATACAGTTTTGGAGTGGTTGAGATATTTGTTCATTGTGTGTTTGAAGGGAGGAATGGTACATATGAATTGGCAGAAAGCATACATAGTTCCTTTTGTATAAGGAAAAATGGGACAAAAAAAAATGGAGTATGAGAGTTGTAGGAAAATAAGTCTTTTGAGTGTAGCAGGTAAACTGTACATTAGAAAGAAGTATTGCAAAGGTATAAGGAGCACATAAAAAATACATAATTTAGGGCAAAGAACGTGTTCTTGCATTTATGGATTTAGAAAAAGCATTTGATAAGAATAGAGGACAATGTGGCAGATATTGCAGATACAATATATAGAATTTCAAGTGGGTTACTAAAAGCAGTAAGAGTTTTTATACGGTTCAGGTTAGGGTATGTAGGAGAAAAAAGAAAAAAAAAAATTCCAGGAAAACCCATAAGGGTTATACAGAACTTTGAGAATGAGAGATAATCTATTTTGATCCAAGGAAGGGGAGGCAGTTCCAATTCCTTGGATGAAGAATCCTTCAGCATCGATGCATCTCTTGAAGGGTCCTTGGTGGTTCAACATATTTATATATGGAGTTGTAAATGAAGTGAATGCTAGGGTGTTGGAGAAGTATGGGATGAGATGAATCTAATACAAATTGAGAGTTTTCAGTTTCTTTTTTGCAGATGACTTGGTTATTGTGGAAATTTCTCAAGAGAAGTTGTAAAGGCTGGTGGATGAGTTTGGGAGGGTGTGTAAAAGAAAGAAACTGAGAGTAATAAAAAAGTTTAGGCAGTGATTTATTGGATATCATATTGTAGGGTGCAAATATGAAGTGACTGCATTTAGATACTGTACTGCATTTAGGCAGTTTAATGAATCGACTACCTTTAATTTGATTCAGCAACTTTCATATTGTCAACAGTTCATATAAATGGTCATACATTACTAAAAATTGTATTGGATTAAATTTATATTAGCAAAATGTAATTACTAAGGTGATAAACTTATGGAATAAATAGTTGAGTAGCATCTTTAAATAAGTAAAAGTTCTTGGTTGGAAAAAGAGTAAAAAAAGGTGTATATATAAGGAAAAAAGTATATACAAGGAAAGAGTAAAAAAGTATATAGGAGTTCCAAGGCATATTGCATTTGCATCTTAATAATTTTAAGCATATTGGTTGTCAAGAATTTTTGCTTTTTAGGTCACCCTGCCTCAGTGGGATATGGCCGGTTAGTTGAAAAAAAAAAGTACACAGTAGATCATTGATTATCTGGTAGTCAGTTATTCAATATTATCATTGTCTAGCAGTCTTGTTCAGTCTAGCACCTAAACAGATAATGAATAAAAAAAGAAACGTGGAGGTCAAAGGAAGCATGAAAAAAGATGTGATCATCCATTGTTGAAAGTCCAGTGTACTCTTTCCCTGCAGGACTCATGATCTATTGTGCATTAACATTTATGAGATCTTAAGAGGATCCCAGAAGTGGGTCAAAATATCCAGATCAGTTAACCTCCAAAGTTTCTGTCTCCATATGGGTTGCTATTAAGCAATTACAAGTGTTTGGCACACTTTAATTATTCATTTATGAGATTGTTACAGTAATTAGATTGTGCAAAAAAATGTAAATTCTGTAAGAGGTCATAAAAGAAAGTTGCCTTGAAATAAGTTTACATAAAGAACACATTTATAACCCTTCACCCTTTTAATGTTTAAAACATTTTATAGGCATGTTCGAGCTGCAGGTGGTTTATGTTTAGCAGATGAAGTTCAAGTTGGATTTGGTCGTGTGGGCTCTCACATGTGGGCCTTCCAGACACAGGGAGACGATATTGTCCCTGATATTGTCACCCTGGGTAAACCTATGGGAAATGGCCATCCTATATCTGCTGTCATCACTACAAGGTAACTTAATGACATTCCAAACATTGTTTCTCATAATTTAGATCTAATTGCATGACTATCTTTGACCTTCATTGTAACCTTCATTTTGTAGGTGTTCTGTTAATTAGCATGAATGTAATTTTCTTACTTTTTATTGCTGGTCATCTCCCAACAAGGTATCATATGATGGCCCAGAACAGGAAACTCGTTCACCATCATTCATTCAATAGGTGTCTTGTCAAATGTGTACAGGTATCACAGTTCCAATGACTCTCCAATCTGTAATATCCCCTCACCTACCCTTCAGATGCAGGCACCCTGCTTCCCAGTTTCTCTAAGTCCCTTTATAAATGTTACCTTGCTTACATTCCAACAGTATGTCACTGCATAAAAACCACTTGTCTCCACTTCAGTCTACATACGTTCACTCAAGCATCCAGCACTACCTTTACCCCTTACCTTCAGTCTTTCCTGGGACATCTCCTACCTCACCTTCCTTTGACCCTATAACCCTGTCTTGGTTATCCTATTCTGCTTCATCCTGTCTAAACCACCTCAATAATCCCTCCTTAGCCCTCTGAATTATACCTTTGGTAACCCCACACTGCCCTCTAATTTCTATGCTGAATTCCTTCCATAATATTCACACTGGACATGGTCTTAAACATTACATCTCCACTGCCTCTAGCTTATTCCTCAGGGCAACATGGAAAGCCTATGCCTCTTATGTAAAAGTGTTGGTACCATTGTGCTCTAGGTACATATCCCTGTTTTGCCTCTGGATTAATTTTTTTCCACAAATGTCTTCAACACTCCACCTGCATTTATTCCTTCGGCTGTTTTATGGTTCACCTCATCTTTCATAGACCCATGAAACTTGTGGTTTCATGTCTGGTATTTTATTCAACGTGTTTTTTGTTTTTTCGTAGCTTTCACTGGTAACATTACTACTACTTAGTGTGTGTATCATTCCAGTAGATTCTAGTATCCCTTCCTAGCCTTTCTTTTCGTAGTTGTTAGCTATGTTCACTTGGTCATCCTGTTGATCATGCTAGGAAATCTTTTATCAGTTTTCTACATCCTTTAATAAGTTATATGTGGAGATGAATAATATAAAATAGTACCAACATAATGGAAAAAGAGAGAATGGAGCGAAACAGAGTGACTTCAAGAGTGTATCAGTCTGTAGTGGAAGGAAGGCGGGGTAGGGGTCGGCCTAGGAAAGGTTGGAGGGAGGGGGTAAAGGAGGTTTTGTGTGCGAGGGGCTTGGACTTCCAGCAGGCATGCGGGAGTGTGTTTGATAGGAGTGAATGGAGACAAATGGTTTTTAATACTTGACGTGCTGTTGGAGTGTGAGCAAAGTAACATTTATGAAGGGGTTCAGGGAAACCGGCAGGCCGGACTTGAGTTCTGGAGATGGGAAGTACAGTGCCTGCACTCTGAAGGAGGGGTGTTAATGTTGCAGTTTAAAAACTGTAGTGTAAAGCACCCTTCTGGCAAGACAGTGATGGAGTGAATGATGGTGAAAGTTTTTCTTTTTCGGGCCACCCTGCCTTGGTGGGAATCGGCCAGTGTGATAATAAATAAATAAAAAAAATAATGGAAAAAAACACAAATGCAGTATATTTTGCTTACAGAATGGGCTTCAAGTCACAAATGGGAGATGGTTGAAGAATTTATTATAAAAGTTCATTATGTGGGTGAAAAGTTGTTAGTAGAGGATCATATACTGCATTCGTGTTTCTTTTTCTAAGCTTATGTGTAGTTGCAATGCTCATTTTATTTAGTAAAAGCAAGTCTAATTCCTGTAAACTTTCTTCATATCTTGCGGCTTTTAGCCATTCTGTAGCTCGTCTCTACTTTTTTGTGTGAAAACCATACCTATGTATTTAACCCTTTCACTGTCTCGTTTATAGATCTTCATTATTGATGCCAGGGTGACTTACCTAGATCTACATTTTGATCTCAGCTTCCTCATAAGTTCTGAATAACAAATTTTGGCCCAGACGTAAGAGGATAAGTCTTATGTAGTGAGTGTGAACAGTATAAAAAAAAAAATCTTGCCCATTCACATTACATAGAAAAAGCAAACCTCTGACCTTCTGCTTGGTTTAATATAGTGACTTAGAAGTGTTTTCTAGGATGGTTTTTATGGTTTTATTGACTGTTTCTTGGCATGCTTTGATAGAAAGAAGACATAGTACTTATATAGAGATGATTTTGGTTAATTTCAGGACTGAAAGTAGCTTGAAATTGGACTCGGGTTAATGGAAATATTTGATTTTTGACAATTTTCCTGAGAACGGGTAAGGCTTTCCTCCACCTTCCATAAGGATTTTTGCTAGGTCTTGTTCAATTATTGAGACACTGTAAACATTACCAATCATTCCAGGTCATATTTCATTATCAGAAAAATAGAGTAAATCTACATTTTTTTTTTTTGTGTGTGTGTGTGTTTGAACTCAAAATAGAGGGAAAGTGTAACATAGGAGAGGCCTGGGGTTGTGATTAATGAACAGAGTAAATGTTACTTTTGTGCATAGAATGCATACAGTGATTATTTTGGACTTTTTAAATTTTGAATTTTTACAAGTTTTTGTGTAAAATTGGTCAAATTACCAACTTCTTTGCACTTTATAGGATAGTTCTGATAGCTAGTTGAATGTGTAGTTTCTTGTGCTGAATCGATAGAACAGAAGGCATACTAGTGAAATAGCTAAGAATTTGATCAAATTCTTCAATGGAATTGGATTAAAATGGGACTCAGTTTGTGAAATCACCAATCCATAGATTGTGTCCAGACCACTAACTTTGCGCCTGTGTAATTCAATAACGTTTTCATTAAATTTAATAGCTTTGGTGTCATTACCTTCAGAAAAAGATTCTCTACCATTTCAGATGATTTTTTTTAAAGTGCCAACTTTGTCAGCACTTTTAATTTTAGGGCTTCTGACAGTGAAGGGATTAAGTGTGCATGTGGGCAAGATCTGAGTAGAGGGGTCAGAGCATTGAATGTCATCTTGTACTTAATGTTCTTCAAGCTTTATATCCTCCTTTCTTCTCAACACTTGGCTAGTCAGTGTTCTTCAAGCTTTATATCCTCCTTTCTTCTCAACACTTGGCTAGTCAGTGTTCTTAAAGCTTTACATCCTCCTTTCTTCTCAACACTTGGCTAGTCGGTGTTCTTCAAGCTTTATATCCTCCTTTCTTCTCAACACTTGGCTAGTCAGTGTTCTTCAAGCTTTACATCCTCCTTTCTTCTCAACATTTGGCTAGTCAAATCAACATAAGATTATGCTAGAATACTGTACCATATTGCAAGCTTTTAATATGTAGTATCTATAGCCTTTTATATTTTGTAATTTTTATACTGTCTTCATACACTGGTCTAAAGAATGCTATAATATAACTTGCATTGTATATCATGTGAGGTGTTCCTGGTAATAAGGGCTAGTAAATATATGAACTTGGGTAAGCCGTGACTTGCTGGTAAAAAAAAATATAATAAATTATTCTTATTATATGTAGTTATAATTTTTATTATTATTAGTTAGTTATCTTTATTTCTCACGAAATTGTAATAACACGATTGCAAACAAATCAGGTAATGGTTGGGGTTTGAACCCACGGTAAGTGAATCCTAAAACTCGCAGGCCAGTGCATTAACCACTGGACCAGCCAACTCTAATAAGAGTCATCCAACTAGGTATATTGTATTCCTGTATACCATAGGGAGGTTAGTATGGGCCACCATTGTGACCACAAATGCAGTTTTTTTTTTTTTCAGACAAATTCCACGCCAGAAATTGTGGTGCATTCTAGTTCATGTCCCTTCAAAGCTATGGGTTCAAGCCTCCCTGTATGGTGATTATTATTTTATTACTATTACATTTTTGAAAGCAAGCCCCCAAACCTGTATGGGTCATACACCATCTTGTTACTTGATTTACATACACAAATACTGTACTGTAATTTTTTTTTTTACCATATCATGGTAAAGATGCTGTATTTGCCTTTACTATCAGCAGCACCTCATATGAAGTACTGTGCTATATGTATGTAATTTATGCTGCATTGACAGAGAGGTTGCTGATAGTTTTGGAGCCACAGGGATGGAATACTTCAACACTTTTGGTGGCAATCCTGTTTCAGCTGCAATTGCTGATGCAGTTCTTGATGTTATTGAAAATGAGAAACTTAGGGAAAATGCAACCATGATTGGCAGTTACTTGAAACAAGAGTTCAATTCCATGAAGCAGAAACATGGCATCATTGGTAATCTATTTCTTTAGTATTTAACTTAAATTTTATATTTACAAATATTTTTGTAATAGAAACCCCATAGCTTTATGTAGTAACTTAAAATGTTGTACATAAATATTGCATATTTTCATATTCAGTCTTTTAATATGTTTCTTTTTTTGTCAACCTAAGGTGATGTACGTGGTCAGGGTATGTTCTTGGGAGTAGACTTGGTCAAGAACAGAAAAACACGTGAGCCTGCCACTGCTGAAGCTGCTTACATAAACAAAAGGTGACTCATTCACTTCTTTATTCCTGTATAAATATTATATTTTTTCTATATGGTATAGCACACTTCCATATGTTGAAGAATACCCAATGAATTGTTCCTCATTTACATCAACAATCACATCTCCTTGAACCTGTTCTGTTCATGGATGACATGACGTATGTCATCTCCCACTCAAATCCAATTAATCTCAACAACACTTGATGATGAGCTCCTAGAAAATCTATGTCGATGACTACCAACAGTCTCACCCTTAATATTGACAAAACCTACCACATATCTGGAAACGGAGCTTCAAATATCCAACTACGTAAATATAATGATCAGTGGTTCTCCCAATGCAAAAGACACTGAGGGCAAATTCTTAGGTCTACACCTTGACTGCAACTTGAAAGTAATACCCACATCCAACACACAATCAAGGAGATCTCCAGAACAGTAGGCATCCTCTCCAAGATACATTACTATGTGCCTCTAACAAAACTACATACATTGTACCACTCTCTGATCTATCCTTACCTCGCCTATGGTATTTGTGCCTGGGGCTCAATTACGTCAAGCCACCTAAAACCATTAATAACTCAACAAGTAGCCGCTGTGTGGACTATTACCCATTCCAGACAACACACTCCCCCACTCTTCAAAAGCTTGACTTTACTTAATATACAAAATTTACACTTGTACTACTGTGCCTACTATATACAGTATATAGAACATTAAATTCCAACAGAAACTCTCTGAAGCTTTGCTAGCTGCAATGGAACACATAGGCATAACACAAGACACAAAACCCTTTTTGACATCCTCCATGTCTGACTCAACCTGTGCAAAAACTCAATAAAAGGCTCTTAAGATTTGGAATTCATTGCCTTAAGTGTCAGAAGGTCCCTGGTATTTGCCAACTGATTCAGAGCTATTGTTAAAAGGCACCTCATCTCTTTAACATAACTGAACCAGCAATATGTTATGTCAAACAAAACCAGCTCATCCAACTCTGTCCCTGTTCTTCTTCCAGTCTTCCTCTGACTCCTCGTTCCAATATATTTCTACTGTAACTAAGTGACTTCCTTTACCTTTACCATATCTGTTCAGTTGCTCAACAAAACTGAAGATCATTGAATCGCTTTGCAATAAAAATACTTTTAACCCTTAAATGGTCCAAACAAATCGACGTTCAAATCCGTAGTGCTCCAAAAGTAGATCTACGTTTTTTTACATATTTTCAAAAAAAAAAAAAAAAAAATGTAGATAAAAGGTTTTTTTGCACATTTTTAAATGTAAAACAAGAAAGAAGATCTACATTTTTTTACATACTTTCAAATGTTGAAAAAACGTATATATACGTTTGGACCATTTAAGGGTTAACGTGCTGCCTGTGCTTTAATGCAGTACATCCTCAACCTTTGCACTCTTACCCTCCAGAGTTGTACATGTTCATTTTGAATTTATTTATCTAGGTGTCGGCCCAAGCATTTATCATCATAAGGTTTTTTGAGCATCATTTATGTAGGCTTGTTGGTTGTTGTCAATGAATATTTAGGACACCTGTTTCTGGGTTTGTGGTGGCAAATGTGTCTTCTGCTTTAAAGAAGTACTTGCTAGTTGCTGGAGGTATTTGGCAACAAGTAGAAGGCTGCCTTCTAGTACTTTGATGTTTATGGGTACTGTAATTGTTGATGGAGTATTGCATATAGTCACATGTTAGCATGTCATTGAAGTAGGACTTGTGAAGGGCAGTATGGTCTCTGATCCAAAAAGGATGTGTTTTATATTTTATTTTATCACACTGTTCATCTCCACCCGAGGTAGTATTTTTTTTTTTTCTCCTAAAAAAAGGCAAAGATGCTATCATTCATTCAGTAGCTGTTTTGCCAGAAGTATACAAACATTACTGCTCATGTGACCCTCTAAACTGCAACATCCAAACCCCTCCTTCAGAGTGCAGGCACTGTAGTTAGTGAATATTTACTATTTGAAGTAACTTGTAGATCGTGGGAGCATTGGAAATGACATGGATTTAGAATGTTTAGTTACTAAGGCACATACTGTTTGCTCATACTCACCCTTGAATATAATTATTATTATTATTATAATCAAAAAGAAGCGCTAAGCCACAAGGGCTATACAGCACCCTTGAATATAAACTGTATTTTTTTTTTCTTTTTTTGTTGCATTTATGGCTTAATGTGCAAGAACTTGTGAATTTCTTGAAAGAATAGGCACTTGGGAACAAAATCCCAAATTAATATCTTTTATTTTATTTTTTAAATTTGTTTTTATTTTAGGAAAGCTTTTACATCTGTACTTTTGTTTTAGTGCTAGTAGTATTCTCTATTTTTGTTTCTTTGTAACCTGAATGTACTTGTTTCTATTTTCAAGTGGCAATTTGGGAATGTTCATTAGAAAGATGGGGTGGATCAGTTGTTCTGAAAGTCTATTATGCCTGTATTTTGAAGGGGGTTACAATTATATGTATTTCGTCTAGTGAAGCACAGTAATTGTGATGGGATGAATTTTGATATTAAAAGATTAATATACATGTTCAGGTAGTATGTGACTTGAGGGTCATCTGACTGAGGATAATGAACTCTCCAAGTTGGTTATATAGTATATGTATGTACATACTTTATTCACAGCTTGCCTCTCTAATGGGTATTATGTTTTCACTTTAGCTCTCATTTGTGTAGTTTGCAGTTCCACTTCCCTTCTGTTTGAGTCATAGTTAATTATGGATATAAGTAAGTTATGCACATCTGTCATGTTTTATCCAGAGTAGAATTTTTAAGCTTTTTAATTTAGTACATATCTTATGAAATATTTATCCAAACACCATATAATAAGAGGTTAAAAATTGCATTTTGGGATAAGAAGGTATGCACTGTAATAGCTGATATGAGTGAAGGGAAACATATGAAAGATCACTGAAGACCAGTGATCAAGTATAGATATTACCACAGTAGTACAAAAAAGTGTTTACCCAGTTAACTGTACAACAGCAGCAGTTACAAACAGGATTTATAATTAAAAATAAAACAGGGTGCACTAATCTGTCTCTAATGATATATTATTATAATAAAAATTAAGCTCTAAACCCACCACTTAGCACTTCTTTTTGATAATAATAATAATAATCTAAACCCACCAGGGTCATAGAGCATTGCCTTTAATGATACAGCTTCAGTGTATAACATGTAATACACTATGTAGTACTCTATATTTAATGTTTTTGTATTGTGCAAGACAAAATTTAAATGTTTAATTTTCTTACAGATTAAAGGAGCAGTATGTATTACTGAGCTGTGATGGTCCAAGCAGAAATGTTCTCAAGTTTAAACCCCCTCTTGTTTTTAGCCTAAATGATGCCAAAGAACTACTAGAGAAACTGGACAATATTATGACAGAAATGGAAGTAGCAGAAGTAAGCAAGCTTATGTATGTATTTGTTTCTGTCTTAAAGTATTATTATTATTATGGGGAGCGCACCCCTCAGGGAAGGTTCCTTGATGTTGGTGAGGGGCTCTTGATTTAGGGAATTGGATCTGTGCTCCAGTTCCCCCCAGGCGCTGTATAATCCTACAGGTTTAGCGCTTCCCCCTTGATTATAATAATATGGGGAGCGCTAAACCTGTAGGGATTATACAGCGAGTGAGGGGTGGTGGTGATGGAAGGCATTTAGGTTCAATTCAGAGAACTGGAGCACAGTTCCCAAGATCAAGAGCCCCTCACCAGCATCAAGGAACCTCCTTTGAGGGGTCTTTCTCTTTAAATGTGTAATGACAAAAAGCATGACTGGGTTTGAACACCAGCATATATTCATGCATTCGTTTTATTTCTGTCAGAGGTTATATAACACCATGAGGTTCAGTGAAAGTGTAATTTAAAAACCAGTTTTAAGACGCTTTTACTTATTGGATGAACATTCTCTGATACGTCATGGAGAGCATACTTTCCAAGCCGGGCTTGGCATTATGGGATTCAGATTACACTGTTAAATGTGTTGGGGTGAAAGACACTAGCAGTTACCCAGAACATTAATAAACTTTCCATTTGTGGAAAGTCTTGCATCATACTTTTCAAAAACAAATTCATCACAGTGCTGCTAAAGATGGTTGCCTGGTATTGAATTTCTGCAGGACTTGTTTTTATTTACAGCCTATTATAAAAATATGGATTGAAAGGAGTGTCTGTAGTTTACGTTGAGATATTTAGACGAAATATTGTACTGTATACTGTTAATTTTAATTTGCAGTGTGAAGTAAATGATGCAGCAAAGTCCACCTTAAATGGAACTGTCAACTCTCATCATAAATCACAAATCAGCAATGGTCACTGTAGTGATATTCAGGTGAAAGGTAAGATTTTTATTGCATTTATGGATTTAGATAAGGCTTGTATATAAGATGGACAGGGTAGATGTTGCATATATATGGAATAGGTAGTAAGTTACTAAAAGTAGTGGAGTTTGAGGAGACTGAGGCTAAAGTTAGAGCATGTAGGAGAGAAGACTATAATTCATTTAAAATTGATCTTAAACAGGAATGTGATTTCACCTGGGTTATTTAATTTATGGTATTATAAAGTAAATGCTAGGGTGTTGGAAAACGTGAGATTAAAAGGTAATAAATCTGATACAAAGGAGAAATTGTCACAGAAGCTCTTTGCTGATGAGAGTACTTTTGAGAGAGGCTGAGAAGTTGCAATGGCTGGTAGAGGAGTTTGTGAGAGTGCAGCATATAAAGGAACTAAATTAATTTTTTTTTTTATTATCATACTGGCCTATTCCCATCAAGGCAGGGTGGCCCGAAAAAGAAAAACTTTCACCATCATTCACTCCATCACTGTCTTGCGGGAAGGGTGCTTTACACTACAGTTTTTAAACTGCAACATTAACACCCCTCCTTCAGAGTGCAGGCACTGTACTTCCGATCTCCAGGACTCAAGTCCGGCCTGCCGGTTACCTGAACCCCTTCATAAATGTTACTTTGCTCACACTCCAACAGCCCGTCAAGTATTAAAAACCATTTGTCTCCATTCACTCCTATCAAACACGCTCACGCATGCCTGCTGGAAATCCAAGCCCCTCGCACACAAAACCTCCTTTACCCCCTCCCTCCAGCCTTTCCTAGGCCGACCCCTACCCCGCCTTCCTTCCACTACAGACTGATACACTCTTGAAGTCACTCTGTTTCGCTCCATTCTCTCTACATGTCCGAACCACCTCAACAACCCTTCCTCAGCCCTCTGGACAACAGTTTTGGTAATCCCGCACCTCCTCCTAACTTCCAAACTACAAATTCTCTGCATTATATTCACACCACACATTGCCCTCAGACATGACATCTCCACTGCCTCCAGCCTTCTCCTTGCTGCAACATTCATCACCTATGCTTCACACCCATATAAGAGCGTTGGTAAAACTATACTCTCATACATTCCCCTCTTTGCCTCCAAGGACAAAGTTCTTTGTCTCCACAGACTCCTAAGTGCACCACTCACCCTTTTCCCCTCATCAATTCTATGATTCACCTCATTTTTCATAGACCCATCCGCTGACACGTCCACTCCCAAATATCTGAATACATTCACCTCTCCATACTCTCTCCCTCCAATCTGATATCCAATCTTTCATCACCAAATTTTTTTTTGTTATCCTTATTACCAAAACTCTTTCCTGTATTCACTTTTAATTTTCTTCTTTTGCACACCCTACCAAATTCATCCACCAACCTCTGCAGCTTCTCTTCAGAATTTCCCAAGAGCACAGTGTCATCAGCAAAGAGAAAACTGTGCCCAACTCCCACTTTATGTGTGATTCTTTATCTTTTAACTCCACGCCTCTTGCCAAGACCCTCGCATTTACTTCTCTTACAACCCCATCTATAAATATATTAAACAACCACGGTGACATCACACATCCTTGTCTAAGGCCTATTTTTTACTGGGAAATAATTTCCCTCTTTCCTACATACTCTAACTTGAGCCTCACTATCCTCGTAAAAACTCTTCACTGCTTTCAGTAACCTACCTCCTACACCATACACCTGCAATATCTGCCACATTGCCCCCCTATCCACCCTGTCATACGCCTTTCCCAAATCCATAAATGCCACAAAGACCTCTTTAGCCTTATCTAAATACTGTTCACTTATATGTTTCACTGTAAACACCTGGTCCACACACCCCCTACCTTTCCTAAAGCCTCCTTGTTCATCTGCTATCCTATTCTCCGTCTTACTCTTAATTCTTTCACTAATAACTAATTGCACCAACCACTCCAAAACTATATCCCCACCTGCTTTTAACATTTCTATCTCTATCCCATCAATCCCAGCTGCCTTACCCCCTTTCATTTTACCTACTGCCTCACGAACTTCCCCCACACTCACAACTGGCTCTTCCTCACTCCTACAAGATGTTATTCCTCCTTGCCCTATACACGAAATCACAGCTTCCCTATCTTCATCAACATTTAACAATAACTCAAAATATTCCCTCCATCTTCCCAATACCTCTAACTCTCCATTTAGCCCCTTCAGGGTCCAAGGCCAAAATCTGAAGTGGTGCTCCAGTGTCCAAGAAATTTTGAAAAAAAAAAAAAAAAAATGATTTTTCTTACAGAATTAAAGAGCATATTTTTGTGAAGGTAATAAGACAAAAAAAAAAATTCTGATCAGTACTTACCGAGATACAGTGCCAAGAAGTTTGTCAAAAATGATGTGGTGGCGGCAACATCGACGAATTCCACATACGCGCATTACAATATTTAGCGGTTTTTATAGTTTTTTCTTTTCTTTTCCAATTTTTTTCTATTCCTACTAACATTTGGGGCCTGAGAGACCAATACTGTATATAATGTATATATATAAACTCACTGTATTGAACACAATAACTGCACTAAAGTTATTATCATATTATTGTTTACCTCTGTTGTTTATTATAATAAACATGCACAAATCTTGTATAATACTAATGTTCTATCATATATTTACATATTTACAATCACTCTACATGGTTTTAGAACTGCTGGAGCTTGTGGAACTCCTTGAAACAAGGCACCATGCACAGAGGCACCTTACATTCCTCACACATAAACCGAGTGTCTTTGCGTCTTTGTTGCCGTCGTTTTGTTTGTACACAGACAACACATCTCTTCTGAGCAAATTTCTTCTGAGTTGAAGGAAGCTGTATTATGAAATGATCACCTTCCCTCCTCAAACGCTTGGGTATATCCTGAGTAATTCGAGGACCTTGTTGTATAGCAGGTGTTCTTACCTGGTATTTCATTATGAGTTGTCTGACAACAGACAAACAAAATTCACCATACGGTGGTCTGTTGCCAGTCTTTATTTGGTACATATTATATGCATTGAGCATTGAAATGTCCATGAGATGGAAGAAAAGTTTCATGTACCACTTGTAACTCTTACGAACACAGTCAACAAAACCAATCTGCATGTCATTTGTCAACCAAGCGCATGTTTTGTGTATAATCAATCACTGTCACTGGTTTTCGAATACGTTCATTAGTCACTCGATCAACTTTGCCACTGTCTTGCATTTCATTACGGTGAATGGTTGTCAACAATGTGACATCTCGTTTGTCATGCCACCGTAATGCCATGATGTCATTGGCAGTAAACACCTGCACGTCATCACCACGAGCACCTGCGTTGAGCCTGGGCATATGTTTACGATTAGAACGCACTGTGCCACACACATCTGTCTTGTTCACTCGCATGAAACCACTGAGTAATGGGCTTGTGTACCAGTTATCGGTATATAATGTATGCCCCTTACCAAGATAAGGTGCCATCATGTTTCTCACTACGTCACCTGAGATACCCAATAACATCTTGGTATCTTTCAATGTTTTACTTCCCGTGTATACAACAATATCCAACACCAGGCCACTGTCACAGTCACAGAGTACAAACAGTTTTATACCAAAGCATTTCCTCTTGCTCAGTATATAATGCTTGAATGACAGCCTACCTTTGAACAAAATCAAAGACTTGTCAATTACAAGATTCTTGAATGGATAAAAGTATATGCTGAACTTTTGTTTGAGATACATGAAAACATTTCTAATCTTGTATAACCTGTCACTTCTGTCAGGCCTGGTTTTGTCAGAGAAGTGCAACATACGTAAGAGTAAGATAAACCTGTTCACTGGGATGATTTCACTGAAGACCGGGGTAGAAATTAGCCGATCTGTGGACCAGTATGCTTTTATATTATGCTTATAGACATGAGGCATAAGCATTATTGCTGCAAAAATCAAATACATTTCTGCAACAGTCGTCTCTTTCCACCTGTGTAGTCTTGACTGTGGTGATATGATCGTATTTGCCATGGTGTACTCAAAATACTTATTACTTTCCCTGACAATAGTTTCCATCAATGGCTGGTCAAAGAATAATTCAAAGAATTCCAGTTCATTGGCCGTGGTTCCAAGGGGACAAGTAAGTAGAATTCCACTTTGAGAGTCATCAAAGTGGTGAGGCTTGGGAACAAAATTGGGATTTTGCTGCCAATCCCAGATACGGTTTGCTGGTGGATACTGGACATCATAGGATGGTTGTGCGGGTGGTTGTGGTTGTGGTGGGCTGGTGGCTGACGCTCCGCTTTGTCCTTGAACTGACGAGTCAGCAGCGTGGGTCCCACCCTGGGCTGGTGAGTCACGCATGGCAGTGCCTCTACCATCACCACTAACACCATCCACTGATGGCATGGATAGACCACAGGCAAGTGTAGCCACATCATCCTCACTATCACTACCTAAAACTAATGTAGGGCCACGGGATGTACTCCGGGATGTACTCCGTGATGTACTCCATCCCCTGGGCACAGCATAGGGTACACTACCCGAGCGCATGCAGCGGCGAACATACCGACGCTTCACTGGTGAATATGATTACTCACTATCACTATCACTACTCGAATGATCGTCGAGCGCAATAAAATCACAATCCACGTTACTGTCATCATCATTACTGAAGTCAGAGGCCTGGCCACGCGAAAATATTAGTTTTCTCTTGCGTTGAGGCACAACCGACCGTGAGTCACGAGTGCCCACACCAGAGGTAGAAGGTTGAGGATCGTCAGGGTTTTCTGCACTATTGTCGACATCCTGGTCATTCTTTTCGGTCACTAACTGATCAAAGCCGTAGAATTCGTCTTCATTTCCACTTCCATCAGTATCAGAACTATCAGATAGGAAGAGGAGAGTCCCAATTTTCCGGGGAGTGAGAGCTGACTTGCGACGAGGCATGGTGAACAAGGGTAACTGAGCCGGCGTTCCCACAATGCTATGCGGGCGCCTAGATTTTTTGTTTATGGCGCACACCCACCACGCAGACCCGTTCTCTCACATGTAGGCCTATGAGCGCTTTCGCGCTAAATTTGAGGGCGCTAGAATTTTGGCGTAGATCTACGGTTTGGACACTCAACGTGAAGCCGTAGATCTACGGGACGGACCCTGAAAGGGTTAATAACTCTCCTCTCCTATTTTTAACTGACAAATCCATTTGATCTCTAGGCTTCCTTAACTTGTTAATCTCACTCCAAAACTTTTTCTTATTTTCAACAAAATTTGTTGATAACATCTCATCCACTCTCTCATTTGCTCTCTTTTTACATTGCTTCACCACTCTCTTAACCTCTCTCTTTTTCTCCATATACTCTTCCCTCCTTGCATCACTTCTACTTTGTAAAAACTTCTCATATGCTAACTTTTTCTCCCTTACTACTCTTTACATCATCATTCCACCAATCGCTCCTCTTCCCTCCCGCACCCACTTTCCTGTAACCACAAACTTCTGCTGAACACTCTAACACTACATTTTTAAACCTACTCCATACCTCTTCGACCCCATTGCTTATGCTCTCATTAGCCCATCTATCCTCCAATAGCTGTTTATATCTTACCCTAACTGCCTCCTCTTTTAGTTTATAAACCTTCACCTCTCTCTTCCCTGATGCTTCTATTCTCCTTGTATCCCATCTACCTTTTACTGTGAGTGTAGCTACAACTAGAAAGTGATCTGATATATCTGTGGCCCCTCTATAAACATGTACATCCTGAAGTCTACTCAACAGTTTTTTATCTACCAATACATAATCCAACGAACTACTGTCATTTCGCCCTACATCATATCTTGTATACTTATTTGTCCTCTTTTTCTTAAAATATGTATTACCTATAACTAAACCCCTTTCTATACAAAGTTCAATCAAAGGGCTCCCATTATCATTTTACACCTGGCACCCCAAACTTACCTACCACACCCTCTCTAAAAGTTTCTCCTACTTTAGCATTCAGATCCCCTACCACAATTACTCTCTCACTTGGTTCAAAGGTTCCTATACATTCACTTAACATCTCCCAAAATCTCTCTCTCTCTTTTACATTCCTCTCTTCTCCAGGTGCATACACGCTTATTATGACCCACTTTTCGCATCCAACCTTTACTTTAATCCACATAATTCTTGAATTTACACATTCATATTCTCTTTTCTCCTTCCATAACTGATCCTTCAACATTACTGCTACCCCTTCCTTTGCTCTAACTCTTTCAGATACTCCAGATTTAATTCCATTTATTTCCCCCCACCGAAACTCCCCTACCCCCTTCAGCTTTGTTTCGCTTAGGGCCAGGACATCCAACTTCTTTTCATTCATAACATCAGCAATCATCTGTTTCTTGTCATCCGCACTACATCCACGCACATTCAAGCATCCCAGTTTTATAAAGTTTTTCTTCTTCTCTTTTTTAGTAAATGTCTACAGGAGAAGGGGTTACTAGCCCATTGCTCCCGGCATTTTAGTCGCCTCATACGACACGCATGGCTTACGGAGGAAAGATTCTTTTCCACTTCCCCATGGACAATAGAAGAAATAAAGAAGAACAAGAGCTATTTAGAAAAAGGAGAAAACCTAGATGTATGTATATATATATGCATGTGCATGTCTGTGAAGTGTGACCAAAGTGTAAGTAGTAGCAGCAAGATAGCCCTGTTATCTAGCGTGTTCATGAGACAGAAAAAGAAACCAGCAATCCTACCATCATGCAAAACAGTTAAAAGTGATGATAAAAACAAGAGCAAGGTGATGAGAATAACACAAGGCCTGGGCAATGAAAGATCAGGTGTCACGTTAGCAGGAGTGACATAAGCGATATATCTAGATAATTGGTAGTGGATGTGTTGGCAGATGGGTCCATGAAAGACTAGGTGAATCATGGAGTAGACAATGAAAACAGTAAGGATATTTGAGGCATCTGTGGAAAGAAAAATGGGAGGCAAAAAAAAAAAAAGTTAATGTACCTGTGTATGTTCATAGTAATACCAACACTGAAGAACAAAAGGGCACAATACCATGACTAGAACAATACACGCATAACCCACACATGAGAGAAGCTTACCACAATGTTTGGGTCAGACTTTGAATATTTACAGAGTTACACAGTGTGACTGTAAATGGTCCAAGTCAGACCCAAACAACGTTGTAAGCTCTTCTCACCTATGTGTGGGTTATTTGTGTAATATAACACTATGGGAGTAAGGTATGGTTTTTATGTTGAAGTAAGGAGGCAACAGCTGTGAATGTGAAGAGAATTATAATTCAAAGAGCAGAGGGGTTTAGGTGGTGGTTTGTCTATTTACAGAATGGAATAGGATGGCCAAGAATGCATGTGCAAGTCTGGATTAGAATGAATGAGGGGTAAAGGGGGGGGGGGGATCATCCCAGGAAAGGTTGGAGGGAGATGAAGCTTCAAAAGCTTGAGCAGACACACGAGCACATTAGTTCAGTAGGGACAAACGGTTTTTAGAACTTGGCATGCTATTTTAGTGCGAGCGTGGAGACATTTATGAAGGGATTCAGAGAAACCAGTTAGCCAGTCTTGGAATGGGAAGTACAGTGCCTGCAAGCTGATGGAGGGGTGCATTATTATAATCAAAAAGAAGCGCTAAGCCACAAGGGCTATACAGCTATGGAGGGGTGCAGATGTTGAAGTTCAGAGGACAATGTGAACTGTGATATCTTCACACTTCTGGCAAGATAGCTAACGAGTTAATGGTATATGTTTTCTTTTTCCAAATCACTGCCTTGGTGGGTGATAGCTGATGTTAGAAATTTTTGTAACATTTAATTTGGAGGACAAATTCAAATTGTGCTAAGTTTAAGCACATAGGTTTACCTCGCTTAATACATTAGATGCATTCCAGGCTCATGATACTTGTATTATGGTCTGTCATTGTCGCAGTTTCACCCGTTATAATGAACTGTATAAGTTTGTGAACAGTACTGAAGAGTCAAAACATTGCAACACTTGGGTATCTTTGCAAAAATGTTTCTCCTGCTTCTTCAATCAAATGCAAGCAATTATAACACTGGTGGAGGTAGTAGAGGTGAAGAGGTAATTTTGAGGTGGTCATTATTATAATCGAGGGAGAAGCGCTAAACCCGTAGGATTATACAGCGCCTGTGGAAGGTATTCAGGCTTAATTTTGGGATCTGGAGCACAGATCCAATTACTTAGATCAAGAGCCCCTCACCAACATCAAGGAACCTTCCTTGAGGTGGTCAGTCTCTTAGCTGCCTAACACAGAGGCATGAAGCCATACACTTATGTGCTGGAGAGAAGAGAGATTTAGCAGATGACATCACAAATGAGTGGAACCCATGTGTGTAAGTAGTTTATGCAGGGGCAGCACCAGAATTTCTGTATTGGGACTTAGGGGAGACAGAAGGTTCATATCAACAGCCCCTTCACTGAGGGAGGGGCAGGGGTTAGTCTATTATAAAAATTATTACATTTTTTCTTGAAATAACTTTAAATAAAAAATCTTTCACACTAAAGGTCTGAGTTTGATATTCCTCAAGCAAAACATTTCCAAAAGATACAGTACAGAATTGTATGACATTTGATAGTATCAATGGAAAGCCTTGGTTATGCACAAGATTTCAGGCAAGATATGACAAGACTAATAGACCATAATGCACATTGCATCTATGAGCATGCAAAAACTATTTCCAATGAAGATAAACATGCACATGTATAGATTCTTAAATTGAATAATTCTGCTAATTATTCAGTTCAAGAGCTTAACTCAAAAAGGTTAAGAAATCTGCTAAAATAACCAGAACTTCTTATTTCCCCAGTATGATACCACCCAGAGGACAAAGCTCGCCAACCAGCATAAACAGGGATATTCGTAGGTTATGTCCTTTCTAGTGCCTCCTTGCAACCTTTGTTATACATATTTGTCAATGCCTTAGATGTGGATGCTTTGTGTGCAAGTACTTCTCAGTATAAGAAATAACCAAGGATACACTTAAAACTGTGGGTTTTGTTATAGTTGTTAGCTTGTTTTGTTTTACTGAAGATGTATAGAGTATATTTAAATATAATAGTTTATACAAAACTTTGTGATAAAATATTTATTTTGCTAGTTCTATTGAATGTTAGCCTCTTTATGACGTGCTATTCTTTTTAAACTTATAATTTATATTATATTGTATAAGAAAAAACTGTGATTGAATAATAAGTGTTAGTTGCATATGCAGTATTTATGAAGCTTTGAAGATGCATTTTAATGTTGCAAATTTTGGCTTTTATAAAAAAATATATTCAGCACACTTTTGATGCACAAATTATATATTTAAAAATCAGTGCCATTGTTCTCTACATGAACATAATTATACCTGTTGTTGTTGTTATTGTTTCTGCAACTTTTACAAACTTACAGAGCTCTGTATGATGATTGTTATATCCCTAGTATAAGAATGCATTTGCATATTAATCATTTATCTAATACTTTGACATACATTAGTTTATATAGTTTTTATTTTGAAATATTATGGTGGATTGACTAGTGCTAAACATTCCTGTATCAAAATTGTTGCATAAAATACATTAAAATGCATTTCATGGGATGAAATATGTGCAATAGAATCAAAAGTGCATGAACTGCATGCCTTACTATTGTAATAAATTAAAAAGTTATTAATATTCCTATACTTTATACCCTGAGTTCATATTGTTGACTTGGCTTATAAAAATAAAATGGCACTTAAACATGGTTAGTTTCATTTTGAGTACCTTGCTTGTGATAACTGCTGTTCAATATTTCTTAGTTTTGCAATTCTAGGCAAAGTAGTTTACCTCAAAACTGCACTATCATACACTGCATTTTTATATCTTAGCTAAAGTTACAATGTGTGATTTACATTTTATAAAATATTGTTAAGTACAAAGCCACTAACATGCCTGAGCATTTCAGGAAGGTTAATCAATGCTTACACACTACTAAAAACTAGACAAACCCATTGCTGGTAAACCCACTCCCAAGTATCTAAATACACTTGCATCTGGTTAGTTGGATTCGAGTCCTGGAGGTGGAAGTGCAATGCCTACACTTTAAAGAACATAAGAACGAAGGAACACTGCAGAAGGCCTACTGGCCCATGCGAGGCAGGTCCAAGTCTCCTACCGGCTTAAGCCAATGCACCCAACCTAGTCAGGTCAGGTCACATTGACTTAAGGGAGGAACACGGCAACCGACCTGGTAGCACAAGCTATCAGGTCTAACTCTCACCCACCCACATCTACTCATGTATTTATCCAACCTATTTTTAAAGCTACACAATGTTCTGGCCTCTATAACAGTACTTGGGAGTTTGTTCCACTCATCCACAACTCTATTACCAAACCAGTACTTTCCTATATCCTTCCTGAATCTGAATTTTTCCAACTTTAAAACCATTGCTGCGAGTCCTGTCTAGGCTAGATATTTTCAGCACACTATTTACATCCCCTTTATTTATTCCTGTCTTCCATTTATACACCTCAATCATATCCCCCCTAATTCTACGTCTTTCTAGAGAGTGCAGTTTCAGGGCCCTTAGTCTATCCTCATAGGGAAGGTTTCTGATACATGGGATCAACTTTGTCATCCTCCTTTGTACATTTTCCAGAGAATTTATATCCATTCTGTAATACGGTGACCAAAACTGTGCAGCATAATCTAAATGAGGCCTAACCAAGGATGTATAGAGTTGAAGAACAACCTGAGGACTCCTATTATTTATGCTTCTTGATATGAAGCCAAGGATTCTATTAGCTTTATTGTGAACACTTATGCACTGTTGTCTTGGTTTCAGATTACTGCTAACCAGAACTCCTAAATCTTTTTCGCAATCCGTAATATTAAGATCTACATTATTTAGTTTATATGTGGCATGGTTATTGTCCTGTCCAACATTTAGAACTTTGCATTTGTCTATATTAAACTGCATCTGCCACTTCTCCGACCACTGCATCAGTCTATTCAAATCTTCCTGGAGTGCTCGAATGTCCTCGTCAGAATGAATTCGACGGCCTATTTTGGTGTCATCAGCAAACTTGCCGATGTCGCTCTTTATGCCCTCATGTATGTCGTTTATGTAGATTGTGAACAGCAGGGGGCCCAACACTGACCCCTGTGGAACACCGCTCGTGACGCTTCCCCACTCTGATTTCTCCCCATTTATGCAAACTCTCTGCTGCCTATTTGTCAACCATGCCTCTATCCAGGAAAAAATTTCTCCTCCTATTCCATGTGCTTTAATTTTCCTCAATAGTCTCTGATGTGGGACCCTGTCAAAAGCCTTACTGAAGTCCAGATACACAATATCATATTCATTACCATGACCTACCTCCTCAAATACCTTAGTGAAAAAAGTTAATAAATTCGTAAGGCAGGAACGCCCCTTTGTAAAACCATGCTGAGATTCGTTGATTAATTTATGCTTTTCAAGGTGGCTACGAACTGCCTCGGCAATTATTGATTCCATAAATTTTCCCACTATGGAGGTTAGGCTTATTGGTCTATAGTTCGAAGCTAAGGACCTGTCACCTGTTTTGAAAATAGGTATCACATTTGCCATTTTCCACTTATCTGGCACCATGCCAGTTTGTAGTGATATGTTGAAAAGATTAGCCAAAGGTGTGCTAAGCTCCTCTTTACATTCCTTTAGAACCCTTGCATACAGTTCATCAGGAGGGGTTTCAGATATTGGCTGTTTGGAGTGACACCCGAACTGTTGTATCTGAGTGCCTTTGCAAACAGTGATTGTGTGAATAATGGCTAAAGTTATTTTTTTTTGGCTTGCCCTGCCTCAGTGGAAAAAAAAAAAACCTTACATCCTCCCTCCAATATTTTCAGTTTTCCATAGCCTAATTTTTTTTCTAATCATCTTACTCTTTCACATGTTTACTTTAAACTTCCTTCTTTTACATGCTCTCTGAAACTATCCTTTGCAATATCTCTTCTGAATTTCCTAAATGAATAGTGTCATCAGCAAAGAGCAATTATGATAACACCCACTTTGTATCAAATTCATTGTCATTTAATCTCACACTCCCCAACAGCATAGCATTTGCCTATTTTACTCCTGTATCAATATGTTAAATAACCATGGTGCTATCATAGATCACTAAGGCCTACTTTTACTGGAAAATAATCTCCCTCTCTCATATATACCCTAACCTGAGCCTCACTATCCACAAATTATTATTGTAATCTAAAAGAAGTGCTAAACCTACAAGGGTACTATCCACAAAATCTCTTGCTTTTAGTAACCTATTACTTATTTCATATATTTGCAACATCTGCCACTGTGCTTCCCTATCCACCCTCTCGTATGCCTTCTCAAAATTTATAAATTTAATAAAAAGTTCCTTACCTTTAAGTATTGTTCACTTGTATGCTTCAATGTAAACACTTGGTTATGTATCCTTTTTCCCTTCCCTTCCCTAATCCTTATTCCTCAGCAATTCTACTTTTCTCTTAATTTTAACTCCCTTAGTAATGATTCTTCTATCATGAACTTTACACAGCATACTCAGACTTACCCCCCCATAATTCTGACACGCACTTTTCTCCTTTTCTTGTATAGATGAATAATGCATGCTCTCTTGCCACTGTTATCTCCTCTTTTTTTCATCTCATATACTGAATAAGTAAATTAACCACTAAAATTACATCCCCACCTGTATTAACATGTCTATATCCCATCTGCTTAACCCCACTTTCATTCCATCCAATCCCTCACACACTGCCCCTACACTCACACCTTGCTCTTCTTTATTCCTACAAAGAGTTATCTCCCTGCTCAATGCCACTCCAGTTCAGCAGCTATGGACGCTTCAAAGGTTTCATTCCAGCAGAGCTGGACTTACTCTTACTGTACCTGAAATACATCTGAGGAAAGGGTTGAGCTCCAGGGTTTTCATTTTACCATTTTTAACCCTTTCAGGGTCCAAAGGCAAAATTGGAAGGGGTGCCCCAATGTCCAAGAAATTTTGGAGAGAGGAGAGAAAAAAAATTCTTATAGAATTAAAGAGTATATTTTTGTGAAGGTAATAAAGAAAGCAAAAAAAAAAAAATTCTGATCAGTACTTACCGATATACAGAGGCAAGAAGTTGACCCAAAATGACCTGGTGGCGGCAACATCGGCGATTTCCACAAACTCGCATTTCTTAATTTTACGTTTTTTATACTTTTTTCTTTTCTTTCTAATTTTTTTCTTTTTCTAGTAACATTTGTGGCCTGTGAGACCAATACTGTATGTAATGTACATACAGTGGACCCCCGCCTTACGATATTAATCCGTTCCTGAGAGCTCATTTTAAGCCAAAATTATCGTTAGCCGAATTAATTTTCCCCATAAGAAATAATGGAAATCAAATTAATCAGTTCCTGACACCCCAAAGTATGAAAAAATTTTTTTTTTTCTACATCAAATATTAATTTTAATACACACACGCACACACAGAAGACATACACAATTACTACTCTACTAAGAATAGAATACATGACACTTACCTTTATTGAAGATCTGGTGATGATTGATGGGATGGGAGGGGTGTGTGGGAAAGTTATTGTTTAGAAGGGGAATCCCCTTCCATTAGGACTTGAGGTAGCAAGTCCTTTTCCGGGGTTACTTCCCTTCTTTTAATGCCACTAGGACCAGCTTGAGAGTCACTGGACCTCTGTCACACAACAAATCTGTCCATAGAGATCTGTACCTCCCGTTCCTTTAACCCTTTGACTGTCGAAACACCCAATCCTGAAGTGTCTCCTGGTGTCAAAAAATATTCGAAAAAAAAAAAAAATTATTTTTTCTTATGAAAATGTTAAGATTATTTTTCTGATTTTTTAGTCCCCCCCCAAAAAAAATTTCCCATCAGTACTTACCGAGATAGAGGCGTGAAGTTTGCAGAAAATGAGCGGCGTATGGCAACGGCGTATGCCACTCACCTGGTAAACTTTGGTTTACTTTTATTCGACGGTTTCTTGTTTTTTTTTTTTTTTCACTTTTATTTTTTCACAAAACTTTTGTGGCCTGTAAGACCAAAGTATGGTGCAATGTTCATATATACACTCGTTGAATGTAACACAATTATAGCAAAAACACTAGTATCATGTTCCTAAAACTTGTTTACACAATATAAAAAATTGTTTATTACAATTGTTCTGTAATATATATACATATGTACAATCACTGGACACTTTTCTAGAACTGCTGCAGCTTGTGGAATTCTTTGAAACATGGGTATAAGCACAATGGTGTTTTACACTCCTCACATAAAACGAGTGTCTGCGTTTTTGTGGGCGTTTTGTGGTATGTCCACAGACAAAACACCTCTTCTGAGCATTTTTCTCGAGAGCAGTAGCAGGCAGTGGTATGGGGTAGTGATCACCAGGCCTCAAACGAGAGGACATGTGTTGATAATTTCGTGGGCGCTGGTCTATTGCAAGTGTTGTTCCTTGGTACTTCAATATTATTTGTCTGATGACTGACAAACAAAATTCACCATATTTGAGTTTGTTGTTGGTCTTCAACTTGTACATATTAATAAGCATTCAGCATGGAAATGTCACATTTGTCAAGCAAGTGCACGTTTTGTGTATAATCAATCATTGTCACTGGTTTTCGAATACGTTCATTAGTCACTATCAATTTTGGTACTGTCTTGCATTTCGTTACGGTGAATGGTTGTCAACAATGTGACATCTCGTTAGTCATGCCAC